ATTTGTGGGGTACAGAGTTGACTATCAATACTTGAGTACAATATGGGATGATCAAATCAAGTTAATTAGGACATTCATCATTATAAAACATAATCATTCTTTGTTACCATTAACCAATTTCTTGCTAACCCTCTATATTAGTCCATTTGTGTTGCTTGTAACAAAGTACCTGGAACTGGGTAATTTATGAAGAAAATGAAATTTATTGTTTATAGTTTCTGAGGCTGAGAAGTCCAAAGTCCAGGGGACACAGTTGCTGAAGGCCTTGGTGGTGGCAACAGTGACAGCAGGGTATCACACTGTAGAAACTGGTGGAGCAGAGAGCCTAATCTCCTCATTCACTCTCCTTTTAAAGCCTTCCAAACCACACCCATGACCACCATTTTTAAACCATTCACTAGGCACGGTCCTCAGAATCTAATCACCTCTTCAAGGCCCCACCTTGCAGTTACCATAATAGGATTTCCCACCCTCTTAACAGTCACAGTGGGATTGCTGGATCGTATGGTAATTCTATCTGCAGTTGTTTGAAGAACCTCCATACTGTTTTCCATAATGGCTATACTTACAGTCCCACCAACGGTGTACAAGTGTTCCTCTTTCTTCATGTCATCACTAGAATATGTTGTTCTTTATCTTTTGGGAGGTAACTCAATGTGGTTTTGATTTGCATTTCCCTAAAGATTAGTGATATTGAACATTTTTTAAATACCTGTTGGCCATTTGTATGTATTCATTTGAGAAATGTCTATTCAGATCTTTTGCCCATATTTTAATTGGATTATTTGGTTTTTGTTTGTTTGTTTCTAAGTTGTTTGAGTTCCTTGTATATTCTGGATATTAATCCCTTGTTGAATGTATAGTTTGCAAATATTTCCTCCCATTCTGTAGGCTGTTTTTTCACTCTGTTGATTGTTTCCTTTACTGTGCAGAAGCTTTTTAGCTTGATATAATCCATTTTGTTTCTTTTTTCTTTTGCTGTCTGTGCTTTTGAGGTCTTATTCATAAAGGCATACCAAATTTAGAATTGGGAAATTTCACTTGTACATTTTCAATTTCCAGAATTATTTTTTTAAAGAAAACTAGAACAGAACGATTATCAGAAATGGGATCCAGGTCTGGCTGGTCAGCTCACTTGGGTGCTCACAGGTGCCAGAGGATCAGCCTTTATGTGCACATCCAGGTGGACCAAACAATTACAAATGTTCTTTTTGTCAGTGGAGCCCTATTATCTTATACATGAATCTTATACCTTATGGCCCAGATCAAACATCCTCCTTTGCCTCCTCCTTTCCTGCATCATCTTCATCTCTTCAGTTAGAAGTAATCTTTATCTCTCACCTCCCATAGCACATTACTTCTATCTCCTTATGACCCAACTTGTTTTCCTTCTGTTATTTAATTATACATCTCATTTTTTTTTCAGTAGGATATCTATATTAATAATGTATCTCTCTCTCTTAGTATTCTTCACAGGGTCATGATCAATAAATATGTTTGGTGAACAGGGCTTAGAGTTCTTTTTGTGTATGTGATTTTCCTGTTCCTCCCGTAGGTGGCAGTGCTCAAACTTTGTAGTACAAACAAATTCCAGGCTTTAAAAATCACATAGGATTCTGGGTCTGTGGCTTATCATCAATTTTTCGAGCAAGTATTCAGACAGAAGCTTATCTTATCCTCTGCTTGAAACAATCTTGCCTTAGCATGCTATAATGTAGACAACCAAAGGAACTTATTTGCTCATTACTTCTAGATGAAACCTCTATTTCTGTAATGGCCTCTTTGGTGTGTGGATTGATATTGTGGAGGAAAGACTTTCATTAAAGGTTTGAAACTTAACCCATGCAGTTAGTCAGCTGGCATTTACAAATTATTGTGCAGAGCAGATTTATGGTCTCAATCAATGCCATTACCTATTACACAATATAGCTGTTACCAATACTACCATATTAATATTTGAAAGGTTAATCTCGGGCCAGCCCAGTGGCGCACTGCTACAGTGCGCCGCTTGGGAGCATGGTGGCGCTCCCGCCGAGGGTTCGGATCCCACATACAGACCGGTTCCCGCTCACTGGCTGAGCGAGGTGCGGGAGCAACACTGAGGGTTGCGATCCCATTGCCAGTCCCGGTCCAGTACGAGCANGAGCGAGGTGCGGGAGCAACACTGAGGGTTGCGATCCCATTGCCGGTCCCGGTCCAGTACGAGCGTGACACTGAGGGTTGTGATCCGTTGCCAGACACAAAAAAAGACAAAAAGGAAAAAAAAAAAAAGGTTAATCTTATTTAAGCAAAGTTTAGTGGGAACTTTTATTAGGTTTCTTTCTCTTTTTCTTTCTTTCTTGAAGAATAACAATGAAATGAGCTCCAGGACCTGTCAAAGAAGGGTTTGATGGTTTGAACAGATTCCAGCACGCAACAGTTTTCGTATTTTGTCTGAAATTATTCACTAATATGATTCTTCTATTGTTTCTTGTAAAACTCCTAGAACTTGGACTAGAACTTGTAAATCAGGCTAAACAGAGCATCTGATTGGCCTACAGAAGGATTAGAACCACTTTTTTGTCGTTTTTTATTGTGCTGGGTTTATTTGTAGGGAGAGTAGGGCGAGCCTAATGAAACTATAGAATACACAAATATATGGAATAATATATAAGTAATATGTGTCTAAAGGGAGATCATGGAAACTCTATAGTGAAATACCAGTCTTTCCTTTGAAAGTGACAGCTTCTATTTTGATATAAGAAAATTATTCATGTTTGACAGACCTCATTAACCATAACTTGGATGATAGAATTACCTCCTTTGAGCATAGCTTATGGGACAAAACTTTGATAATAATTCAAGATTGGTGAAGCTTTTGTTGTTGTTTTGTTTTTCGGCCTGAGGTTTTTCTTTAAGTCTCTCCGTGAGATTACCTGTCAGTATCACAAAATCCCTATTAGATTGCTCTTTTTAAACATCTTCAAAGGGTATTGGCAATTTCCAATTTAGCAGAATTTTGGCTATACTAATAACTTGGTATACTAAGACAATAACCTTTGTTTCCCTTAGATCTCTGACACCTAAGTTTTCTTAGAGGAGGAAGAGGATGCTCGCTATCTTTTAATTGTCTAGCTCAACTTGCTCATCTCCTTAGCATAAATATTCGTTAGGAAAACACTTTGAGTATCACACATGGGAGCCAAGGAATTTTCTCTTCCGAACTAAACAGATTAAAGGTTTTTCAAGGGAGTTCTTTCTGCCAGATCTGTTTTCATACCAAATTACTCAAACCAGGTCCTCTTCCTCTTTGCTTCCTCCCCTTGCAACGCCCCTCCCACTCTTCAAAACCGGAGAACTCTTAAATTTCAGCTGAAAAATCACTCCTTGGTGAAGGCTTCCGCAACATGGAAACGTTAGTTAAAAATTATCGGCGGTGATTGCTTTGCACTAACTTCCTGTGCTGGGCCCCAACAGACCAGATTAAAATTAAAATGGAGTCACCCCCGCTAAGTTCCATGTTACTTAGGTTGTGGTCTGACCTTCGGAGAAGTCAGGAGAAAGAGATAGCAGCCAATTTCTCAAGCAGGCCAGTATTCATCTTCTATAGGTATGATAATAAAGTTCCCTCTGCTTTAATTCTTACACAAAATAGCAGGAAGCAATCTGATGTTAACTAGTCAGCCATTTTTCTATTGTTCTGTCTTCCTGCCCCCACTTTACAAGGAAGGTAACTTTGAAATGACCAACCCACTTTTTGTTTCTGCTTTCATCAGTCTTTTTATGTCTATAAATATAATTAACCTCCTCTGCTAGGCTCTTTGGAACACTTATTCTATTATCTGGAATAACATGTTGCCAGATTCTAGAATCACAATAACGCAAATCGAGATCTTTAACTAAATTTGTTGTAATTTTATTCTTTGACAGCAGGTAGAGCCAGCCGGTTCCTCCCTCTCTGTTCCCATAGCTCACTGCCAGCAGCTCGGCTTTTATCACAGAATAATGGGATTATCTATTTTCATGAGGATCTTGCCCCCAGGGTGTGAGTTTGAGGGCGGAGACCATATCTTTTTAATTTCATCCGTTTTTATAATCCAGCATTTGGCACATGGTAGGATCAGTGATGCTGAATGCCTGAAACTCATCCTATCCAGGTTATTCTCGATGTTCCGTAGGCGGCTAACACAGCTGGCACACCTGTTCCCGCCAACCGACAGTTTAAAAATAAGCAGCGGTGGACGCTGAGGAATAGGGAGTGTCTCTCATGACAACCGCCTCTTATCAACCCCAGTCGGTCCATGCCGGCTTGTCGCCGGCAGAGACGACTTTGGAGTCCGCTCAGTTGAGGGAAACGCTTTCCCCGAGCAAACTTGAGTTCCGGAGGTATTTCCCCACCTCTGGGCCACAGACGCTGTCCGCTCGTTTCTAAGGGTGACAGGAAGTCAAGGGGAAAACGTAGGGTCCTAAGGTTTGGGGGTAGGTGCTCGCAGCCACTCAACCTCGAGGCTCACTGTCGATGCGGCGCTGACGTCCGGGAGGAAGGGTGGCGTGGCGCCCCCGACTCAGCCCCGCCAGCCCCCAGGCTGAGCTCACACTCCCGACCGCCGCTCCCTCAGCTGCCCTCGCACTCGGCGCCCCGCCCACCCCGGGCGGAGAGCCGCCGTTCTCGCGAGAACGCAGCTAGCCTTGCCTGTTTGGATTGCGAGTTCTCGCGAGAAGAGTCTGAGGAGCCGGCCTAAAACCTGCTCCGGCGGCTCTGGTAACCGCAGCCGCCTGAGTGGCCTCCTTCCCGGCCACCCCCGCAGGGATCCGGCTGAGGAGGAAGCGGAGGTGTCGCTGGCCTCGGCCTTTGCCTTGATCCTCGCTGGACATTCAAGGGGTACTACAGGTTCGAGGGTGACTGGACTCAGCTTGGGGAAGTCTGTGGGGGCGGCGCAGGAGGCTGGGCTTGGCGGGGGCTGAGGAGGAAAGGGGAGATGGGCGAATCTGGACGTGAGAGCCGGGCAGCTGTGGCGGTGGTCCGGGCGGCTGGACCCTGCTAGAGGAGCGTGGGCGGCGTTTTGGACTGCAGCCACGGGCACTCAGTTTGGACAGGCAGGGATGGGACTTGGGTTTCGAGGGTGGCTGCTTTTGGGTTGGGAGTCCGGAGGCCTTTCCCCAGGCGATACCCTCATCCCTCCTTTCCAGGGCTGAGTATCTCTATGCCTCACCCCTTTCTTGTCATCTTTGGCTAACGCAGCGACATCCTGAGGAGGGCGCATCACAATAGGGGATAAAGTAGTAGGTAGTCTCTCTTTGGGTAAAGAGGCGAAAGACCCCCAACAATGTGCTGCGTGGTTTTATGCTCTAACAGTATCATCTATGGTAAAGCTTTGTTTTCCCAAAACTTTTACAGAAAAGGTTCTGATTTCTTTCTTCAGATGCAGGTCCCCTAACACTCCCGATCTTTGGGGATGGGGAAGGCAGAGGTGAGACCTCGTTTAGTCATTTGTTAGTGTGGGCCATTGTGACCATCCCTGGGCCTCACAGATTTCCTACTTCTCTTTTCTCCTCACTGTTTTGAGTCCGTGATGAAAAGTGACTAGTCCACACATGCTGAAGATAACAGCTTCACTTTCTTGTCACTTTCTGCACTTAGCAAATAAAATTATTTTACAGATGTTTTTATCTTTAAGTCTTCATGATTTTTACTTAAATTATTAATCCGAATGAAGCAGCGCAGTATATTGATTTTCTTTGGACAATTGGGTTTCTTTACCCTTTGTTCCCTCCCCCCCCCCCAGATGTGAACAAAGTTTTTTAGAGAGGGGGTTAGGGATAAATTTTGAAGGAGACTGTAGAAATTGGAGTGAAAGATATAATAAAGAATGCAACCATAAGGGCCAAAAGAGTTTCTGTACTGGAGAGCCCCATCCAGGACTAAAGTCCAGGCCTTGAAACTGAAGGCTCTAGTTGTCATTTGAATATAAAGCAGAAAGCAGGAGAAAATTCGTGGGAAAGAACTTGATAGTGGATTAAGACTGATAAAAATAATGTATGAGGAGAATTATACATACAGAGAAAGTAGGAAGGGAGGTTCTGTAGCATGGAGTGTTGTGAGAAACCACAGAGTAAATATAGTGTTCAAACAGTAGAGCTTTTAGTATCTCAACAATGATTTGAGTTCTTTTACTTTTTTTCTCACTCCTAAAAATACTTTCAGATGAACTTGTTCTGCTCTCCAGTTCAGGAGCTCTGTTATACGTCAGAATTAATAAATTTTACAACTGGAAAAAAAAAAAAGGTTTAAAGCAAGTGTGCTAATTAGTTTGGAATTTCAAACTTTAGGAGTATTTGGGAAAAATATCAAGTCTAATTGAAACCAGTGGTTCAATAGCTTTTAAATACAGTGGAACAAACTGAACTGGTACTTACTATTAATATTTTAACTGTGGAAATGACTGAAGAAAAAACCTCTTCGTATTTATGGTTTAATAACTCAAGAATTCCGAGCAAAGCTGATTTATAGGTATTTTTATAGGGAAATCGATTTATTTAGAAACTCTATTGCACTTGTAGCTACTATGTAAAATTTAATCCAGGAGACACTGTACAGTCCATCTGCGGATTTGAATGTTTATTGTTTGCTATGCCATCCCACATCGTCTTCCCAGGTATTGACTTTTACTGGAAGAAATAGATATCTTGGATTTTATTTCCTGGCAGATGGAGGGTTGGAGGGGTTTGGCAATGGGATGGAAAAAAATGGGATGGAGAAAATGTGATGTGAAGCAGGTAATATTGTACCTCTTCCCTACATTGTCTATTAAAAGGTTGGTTTGGGTTAATTAGTTTTTCTTGTAAAAGGGATAAGTACTTTGATTCTTTTCTTCAATATTTTTAAACTTAGTGCTCTATACATGGTAGAGCATAATGACACTTGTAGAATCGCACCTTGTGGATTAAACCTCATTTTCCCATTAATGTGAAGTACTTTAATCACATAATCTGATTCATCCCTAGTTGGGCTGTGGGGAACGCGAGTTTTAGATGTCAGATCTAAGAAGTGGTTCTTAGGCATATGGAAGGCAAAGTAAGGGTCCTCACTGGAGGTAAGGGTCAGAGAGGAGGTTAGGTGAGGGAGAGAGTTTTGAAAAGGAAGAGGAAATAGTAAGTACCCTTTTGTTTATTGTGCAGTTTTAAAAAGAGGTCTGCCTTTTATAACTAAATTTATCATAACTCATTCAAAGACTACATAGAATAGTAGTTTTTAATCAGGACTGCTTCGGGAGTTTGTAGACTTGATTTTCTTCATTTTAGTCTTGTTTTCTCGGGTCAAGCCAGCTAATACCTTCTTCATCAAATCCTGCTTCTCTGTGGAATAGGAGATGAAAGAGGAGGAGATATGTATTCCGTTTATGAGGTGTTGCTCTTTGAGAGTTTTAAAAACATTTCTGAGGGATTTGTTTTGTATTTGTAGAGATTGTGCTTGTTGAAAGGGGAACCATCAGTTTCCTCTCCCCATGTTTCTACTGTGACTCATAAAGTAGGATGTTGTCTCTTGGAAGTAACTTCCCCCCTTTTTCCAATCCCCTGTGATACCTTTCCAAAGAAGGATTAGGTGAGGCTGGGAGAAGGTATGGAGTATACTTTTGCTCTGTGTCTTCTGGTTCTATCTTTAGAACCAGTTCTTAGTAATAGAGATTCATCTGTATGGTAGCTTATCTGACCGGATTGGACTCCTATGAGGGAGAAGGAAATGAACACTTACAGTTCTAACGGGGTATGCTTAATTTACAATCAATGTAATAAGCTTTTTTAGCCATTAGTTTAAGTTATGTTTTTATCCTCATTCATGTGACTCCTTTATTTTGTTCTTGTTGGTTCTGAACTGAAAAGGGGAAAGAGGTACAGATTTTCATTAATAGAGGAAGAATATTAAAATTTCCCACACTCTTTAATAGAATCTTTATTAGGATTCATGCTAATGTTGTGTTTCCCCAATATGGGTTGCTCTGGTTTACTTTCGGATCTTTGAAACTGACATTTACCTCACTAAGAAGGTAGCAATCTAAAACTCAGAGATGGAAGGTGAGCAAGCAGAGTTCAAGGAAATGCTCTCTAGGAGAGGATTAAGAGGTTGGTAACTGTTAGTTGTAGGCAATGGTGATACAGTGAGCTGAGTATTTGAAATAGTAGAAAGTTGAACATAAAGAGGAGAGATTTTATGTCAAATATGTGACCTTACGTCACAGTAGAATTCTGAAGATTGTAAGATATCTTTGCCAATAAAAGTAACTTTCTTCACCCTGTTAATAGTTTAATTATATTAATTCTGTTTAAAAATGAATGTAAGGTATCTGATTACATGGTACTTATTTTTATCTTCATAGTTGAAATGATCTATTGGTATTTGGTCACAAACTGAAATTGACATTTAGCATTTAGCTGGAATTGAGAGTCTGTCATAGTGAATCACTGAAGTATTTGATTAGAAACTATGAATAATACTTTTCTAAGGATATTTAGGTTCGCTTTTTTTTTTTCCCCCTCTTTGGCGGCTGGCTGGTACAGGGATCCAAACCCTTGATGGGCTTCAGTGTTACAAAGTGGTGCTCTAACCAGGTGAACTAACTGGCCAGCCCCAAAGGTCATTGTATGTTGTAATCATACTTTTCTGCTTAGAATGCCTTATTTGAAATCATTTAAATTTGAGTTTAAAGCCCCCTGTTAGCTCTGTGATATTAAAGTTACTTAAATTCTCTGAGCCTTTGTTTCCTCACATGAAAAATGTATATAGAACACAATTGTCAGGGATTTAAGGATGAGAGGAAATAAAATATTATTAAAAGTGCCATGTAAATAGTAAAATGTTGTATGAATATGAGTTGTTAGTACTTTGTTTTGTGTATATGCTCAGAAAATATCATCTTGGCATTATTTCCTCTTCTCCCCTCTCCCAGTGGTCTTGACATCCATCAGTTAAATTTATGTTCACATTTGGCTGTCTCATTTGGAGGGATCAAATTCAAATAACTATTTACAGCCTTGGAAATATGACTCTTCCACTGAAAATTACAAAGATTTTTTTTGCTCTTTTTAAAATTTATTACAGTAAGCATTGAACAATAGGAAGCTCCCTTTCTTGTTTTTCATCAAGCCCTCTAAAGCACTGAATGCCTAAGAATATTTTATTATGTCCTCACGTTTAAATGACAATTTGATATACTTAATTCTAGGTTCAAACTTCTATTCTTTCAATGCTTTAAAAATATTACTTCATTACCTTCTTGCTTCTAATGTTGCTATTGAGAAGTCTAATGTCAATCTGATTCTTGTTCTCAGTAAATGTTTTCTTCTTTTGCTCTGGAAGCTTTAAAGTTTATTTTTTTTTCTCTGATAGACATACAGTTCTATATGTGGTATCAGGGGTGTTTTTTTTTTTTGTCTTTTGGTCTTTTTCCGTGTCCGGCAACGGATCGCAACCCTCAGTGTTGCCCCCGGACCGGACCAGGACCAGCAACGGTATCGCAACCCTCGGTGTTGCTCCCGTGCCTCGCTCAGCCAGTGAGCGGGAACCAGTCTGTATGTGGGATCCGAACCCTTGGCGGGAGCGCCACCACACTCCCAAGCGGTGCACTGTAGCAGTGCGCCACCGGGCTGGCCCTGATACCTAGTATTCTATGTAATTTGAATGCCAGGTAGAAAAGTAGACAAAAGGGAAGAAAGAGTAGATTGAAGAGAGAGATGGTATGGCTTTTTAAAGATCATCTATTGGGATACTGTTATCTACTTCTAAAAATTTTTTTTTATTTTTATTAATGTGGATTATTTCCCTTTAAGATCTTTGACTATTATTGCTTCTAGGAGATGAGTAGAAAATTATTCTGAATTTTCTAACTGTAGACT